TCTTATGGCAGAGTCGTGAAGAGTGTTTCTCTGACCTAGTCCTTGACAATTTACCATTATTATTTGTCCTGAATGCCATCTGAGGTAAGGAAAAAACGCAGTTCCCGTTACAGAGAAAGCAATACAGGAGGCCACCCTGAATTCAGTACCATAGTCTGAACATAGCCCCAACAAACCAGTGTATAACCTTTCACTCAAGATTGACTTCCCAAAAAATGTGTCTGCTCCTCACACAAATCTATTGTATGGCTTTAAATGCCACACAATACTGTGCACAACTGCTGAGTTTCACTGACAGTTTTAAAGCACAACATGCTCATTTTGTTGTTTCTATATCTCTTTGAGACAGGTCCACAAATCCAGATCTTCACGGACCCATTGTGACTGTGCATGGTGCATTATAGCTTTACAATCCCAAATACTATCAAATTTAATTAGTTTAGCATTTTAGAAAATCAGCTTAAATATTCTCCTAAATAACTCTTTCATGTTTCACTCCCAATTATTGTAATCAACAGTAAACAATGATATGACAGGCTATTCATATACAGTATATCTGTAATTTGTATTGCATATGGAATGGATTAATCAAATTTGTAAATTGATGCAAGAAAGTTTTTCCTTAAAGTGAACACAAAAAGTTTTAGACAGCATGCAAACTAAAAATGAAAATAAATTTGAAATTAAAATTGTGATTAATTGATCTGTCTAAGAGTAAATGTCATGTGAACAAAATGTAATTTAAAAAGTATCTGTAAAAACTGTCCAAAATGTATTACACTGAAAAGAAATCCTGTGGAAAATGTTCACTCTAAAATTTCTAGTCAATTTCACAATTAATAACAAAGTGACAAGTAACACATTCAATTAAACATGATTTTTTTTTTAAATAGAAAGACAGATTTTTCCAATAATAAAGACGTTCTCCAATAATATTTATTTTATTAGCTTTGAAAAGTCATTTATTTTGTTTGTTTATTTTGGTGGGATTCAGATTCCATCAGCAATCCGCCCGTGCCCGGGCAAAGTCAGAGGTGGAGGGGAAGCACATGAATGTCACACTTTAAAAGCATTCTGAATGAATCTTTCTGAACACAGGTTCTACCGCCTTATTAGCCTATTTTACGCTCCTGCGAACAAGGCAAACGGAGCGAAAGAGATATGCAAATATGAATCTAATTGGCCTGTCAGGACCACGGTCCCCCAGTCAAACGAGTGACAGTGAAGGGGAGAGCACAAGCAGATTGGATTCAGCTGCCACCCTTACACATTTCATTAAGTCATTCTACATGCATTATGCCTGGGGTCAATGCACTATCCTTGAACAGGTCTTTCAGCATTCACTACCGCAGAGTTTCTCTCTTTTTAAAGCACCACATGCACTATTTTTTTTATGTTTCTATATCTCTTTGAGACAGATGCACAAATCAAGATCCCCCAAAGAGCTTCCATTGCGACTGGGCTCGGTGCCTGTTAATTGTGATCAATGGCACTTTTGAACAACAAATAGGCCGGATGTGCTTATGATGATTTCAATGTACAGCTTTATCACAGCGGAAGCACAAATCATCATCAATTTGCACACTCTAGAGAGAATATTCTGTATTTAGCTGTATGACACTCCAGAGATTGCACAAAGGATGGAGACAGAGTATTGTCTTTAAACGAGAATCTGTAACATGGGGCTTGGTTAATGTGCTAGAAACAAGCGGGCGTCACTGGACATAGATGTTCCATAAGACTTAATGATGCATCTAGAAAAAAAAAAACACACCTTCATTAGTGGACTATCATTCCCTGCACAAAGGGGCCATGCAACAATGAAAGGGGGAAAAATCGATGGTGATGATTTAGCAAGCTAAAGACAAAAAGACAGAAAGAATAATAATCGCTCTAGGAATGAGAATCAAGCAGACAAGGAGACTATTTGAGGAGAGAGCGAGAGAACAGTTGAACAGTAAATCAGAGGGTAAACTCCTAAGAGCATTGCTGAGCCATGATAACACTGTAGCTTAGCACTGAAGTCAGAGACGAATAGTTGGTAATAAGTAAAACCCCTCTCCATAAAGTGTCCACTGTGGCTTCACCTTTGTGATGTGCTAAATTTAAAGTGAACATATGCATCTGCTTTGGCCAATTAAATTAACAATCACTGACATTGAAAGTGATCAAATATGTACTGAATTGCTGGTAAAGATCTTTTTTTTTAAATCACATACACACAGAGTTAACACTCACCAGCTGTAAATTGGCTTAGACCAGGTGTAAAGTGGCCCATTGTTCAACTTCATAGATAGATAGCTAGACAGACAGACAGACAGACATTTTCTTCTTGATAAATGGCTGCAGAACAACAAAACAACCCATGTCTCACATCAAAGAGAATATATTTAATATATATATAGGAAATAGTGGCATTAATTTAATCTAAAAATAAAACAATTCAATGGAAATTATCGCAGCTATGAATAAAAAGACTTCAATCCAATAGCAGCATTGTTGTTAACTGGAATGTGGTACATTATCAACCTCTTAACCCACCGTCTCAATAAAAAACAATATCAAACTGCCCTCGAGCTGCTAGTTTTTGTTCCTATTCCAGCCCACACTGGCAATAAACATAACAAAACCAACTGGACTGCTTTCTGCCTGTAAATTTCCAAAAATTGGCTGTTCTTTTCAAGAGAAGGATCAATGAGAATGATAATGAACATTATTTGAGTAAGGAGACACTTTTGATCCAGAAGAAAGTCAGTTCACAAAGAACTGCAGAAGTTATTCAACAATCAATACGGCATTTATAATGTGGCCTCATCAGCATTCAGGTAATGAAACACTTGTGGCGGTGAAAATGGCAGAATTATCCACATAAGCCCACACCAAACGTCCTGGTTGAATTGTGGCACTTAAGGCTTTGAGGATTCTTACTGACAAAGGTTAAGCAGTATTCCTCTGCATGTACAATTAATTTTCTTTTGACTTTTCTCACAGTGCCAACTCTCCATTTGTGCATCACATCAACGCACCATGGATTCCATTTCAAGGCTGAATGCCTTTGCAGTTATTTGCTTTGCACTCGTATGTTCAATGTCTACAAACTTGGAAGTCAAACGTTGAGTCAGGGCTGAATTTAACGAGGCATCTAAACTTCACCCAGAGATATTGGCAAGAAACTGTGGCATGTCATGTCATGCCGCCGCGGGCGGACAGACTGCTACAGTGTGATTAGCCTCTGCTGTGATCAGCTCCCAGCTCTATAATCACACATAGAAAAGAGAACAAGATTGGCAGGATGTTGTGGAATTAAAGCAGAATCTTGGAATCCTGAAAACTAAATTAAACTTTATTGGTTTAATTATTTAAACCTAGCATTAAACGTATTTACGTCAACAATTGGTTTATTATTAAAAATGGCATTTTAACTGATTTTAAATCATTAAAACTAACTCAAACTATTCATTTGTAACTGAAACCTTTGTAAATATAGAAATACTCAAATAAATACAAGGTTTCTGCAGGTTTTATGAAGGTCCATTTAATAATAATAAGACATTTTGAAGACCAAGTAAACACATCAATATGTTCTCTAAATGTAAATGTCTATAGGGAGTTGTATTAGCAACTTACAACAGATCTACATTATTTTTTAAATTAATTTTTCAAAAAAAAAAAATGGAAATAGCTTTTACTGTAACTTTTGATCACACTGTTAAAAAAAAAAAAGTTTGTTTAGTGCAAATAAAGTTATGATTAAAACAAGAAAAAAATGTATACCAGCAAGCTCAGAAACTTCAACTTAATTCAAAGGGAAAACACATTTGCATACCTCACTGAGAGATATTTGCTCTTGTTTTAAGCATAAACTCACTCAATTTTGTTAAATTATTCAGAAAACAAGACTTAAACTATCATCATTTTGTTTTTCTAGTAAATGCATCTTAATTTCTGTTAGATACACTCTTAAAAATAAAGGTGCTTCAAAAGGTTCTTCAAGCGATGCCATAGAAGAACCATTTTTGGTTCCACAAAGAACCATTCAGTCAAAGATTCTTTAAAGAACCATCTCTTTCTTACCTTTTTATAATCTAACAGCTAAAACAGTGATCTGATCATAACATTTGATTGCCTGAGTCACACACACATGTCAATCTGTTGCCACAGAAATAAACCCTCCAAAGAAAAACACAATTTCACAAACACAATCTAGAGATGACGGAAAACAGAAAAAAGTACATAGGAAAAAATATACACAATTTTGCCCTTTATTCTCCATCCACAGGAGATGAAAGGCAGCTTGCTGAATGAATCCAACCACAGAGCACTGTGATTGAAGATTTGTAACAATGGCATCAGCTCGGCGGGTGTAGCAGATTACCTGCATCAACCAACCCTTTGATTTTTATTATGAGTGCTTTGAACTCTGAACCTTTCTAGGAACTACAGAGCCTTCCAATCTCATTAGATCTGCCACGTAAAACCTTTTATATATGCATCTTTTACTTGTTCATTATAAGCTTGTTCCCCCACCCCCATTACTGATGTTTTGAGGTTATGACTTTCTAATCGGCTTAGCTTGAGCGCTGACAGTCATATACAGTATGTGCTTTATGATTCCCACACAAAATCACAGTGCAATCTGGATCACGCTTCCAAAAGACAACTTTTAATTTCTGCAGTACTTTTATGGTTGAATTTTACACTTCAATGTCATGTCCCCACACTGAAAAAAATGATTTGTTGTCTGAACAACCATTACTTACAAAAGTAAATCGATTAAACACAAAAAACGTAGTATTCATAACTTTTCAATGTCTACTTAACATATATAGTGCGTGTAACGCAAAAATAAATGCTACAAGGTTAACTTAAGTGTATGCATAAATAAAATTAAAAAACATAAGTCATGTCAACTACTATTACAATTACGTTAAAATTAAGTAAATCTAGCATAACATTTTAAGTAGCCTATGAGCCACGTGATATGCAAATACTCTTTCCAGCCAAGGTGCCATTTTGTGAAGCACATGTGAATACGGTGAGAAGGGGTAAGCTTAATTTTTGTAAACGAAGTATAATATTAGATTTTGGCGTTTTACCATCAATGAACACTTGTTTTTTGTGTTAGTGGGAGAAGATATTTTCTGAAACGCAACGTGATGTAGACGCTGAAAAGAGGTAAGCTTTACTTTGTCTTTTTAACTTACTCGTTTATTGCGTTTGTGGTCAAAAAAGGAACTTTTAAACTGAATTTCTGAATCGCTAAGAATAATGCTTCAATAATTAGAAACGTGTTATGAATACTTATGAAATATGCTACTGAGGGGAAAAAAAAAAGTTAGGTCACAATATTCTCATATTCTCTATAAGGGGCGGCCCAGGCCTGGGCGCGGGTTACTTTTGAGGTTTGGTTCATATTATATTCTAAAATACATCGGCTGCATGTCTATATGTATGCACGATCATCAAGTAATGGCGATCTCGATTCAGACACACACGCAAAATTATTCCTAAATGACAACGATTCCTCTGTCTACTAAACCTTTGAAATTATGATCACAACAGTAAATTTAAACCTGCGTTCCCTCTGCCGCTGATCCGGAGAGAGCGCCATAAACTGATAAGGTAAATTAGACACAAAATGTGCAGAGCGGGCATGTGGATCTCCAGTTTTAAAGTGTTTGATTTTAACATTTTGTGTTGTTTCTGTTATATTTCATTTTAAATATGTGAGGCAATATTGAAAGTGCCAGATTTGACTTCCAAAAGTAATGTATAAAAAAATTGAAATGCCAGCATTATCAATTATTTTATGCCGTTTAATACAGTTGTTTTTCTCTCTATCCACCTTTCCATTCATCCAGCTGTGCAACAAGTGATGGTGCAAGAACGGAATAATTGGAGGTAACAATTCATATCTAATTTTTTTTGTTTATTTCACACTTTACTAATAATTGCTTACAGGTGTGGAACGACATGATGGTGAGTAATTAATGACAGAATTTTCATACTTGGGTGAACTAAACTTTTAAAATGATGCTCCACCTAAAAATGAAAATTCTGTTATTGTTTACTCATCCTTGTGCCATCCCTGATACATATATAATATAAATTTTCTTCACTTTAAAAATCAACGCAAAGTGAATGTGACTGTAATCCATACGTCCCTGTATGAATCTCTTCTGAGTGGAAAGTTAGGTGTGTTTGTAAAAAAAAAATACTATTATTTCAAACTATAATCATTGCTTTCGGCCAACTGTCATCCATTCATTCATGGGTTCATGCTTAATGTAAATGTAAACACATTGTGAAGTGTGATGTGTGTTGTGAAACTAAAGGAAGAGGTGGCAGTCCTAAGTGCTTCTACATCACCTCTCACGTGAGCTTCAGAAGACAATTGACACGCTTCACAACATCCTGATAAATCACTTAATATAAAATCATGAACTAATGTATGACAGTCAGCCCAAAATATAGTTTTTTTTAGTTTAACAAAATTGAAAATACCTTTTTTTTTTTCTTTAAATAGGCCTATTGTTTTCCTTCAGAAGACATTGATTCATTAACTGCGGTCACATGGCTTATCATGTTTGTGTTCCATGGGTTTTAAGGTCCCATTCACTAGCATTATATGAAGACAAAGAGATTTTTCCCCCCCCTAAAAATCTGTTTATCTAACGAAAGTCATTCATCAGGCACAGTGTGAGGGTGAGTAAATGATGAAAACATTTTGGGTGGAATATGTCTATCTTACAAATGCTAAATTAGGTTCTGATCAGGTGACTGACTTGGCCATTCTCCAATTAGCTTTAAAAAAAAACTCTTGTCGCTTTAGCAACAGATCATTGTTGTAGTGTATAGCAGCAGAACCTGAGCAGATTTTTCTGTTCTCTTTCAAAATTGCTTCCAACTTCATTTGCCATCAGCAGTTTCACCATCATTAAAGAGGAGTTGGTCAAATAATGCCTTCATTCCCAAACTCTATGGAGTCACTGTGTAGTTGTGATTTTGAGTGTATGTACCATAACAAGCTACATTTTGTTTTACTTTTCAGACCAGCCCTGTGGAACAACATAGAGAAGTTGTAATTTGATGCTTAATTGTCTACCTTTCGGAAAATCCAGAGAATCTCATCAAGCATTATCAGGTGAGCATCTGAAATCGATCAACGACCAAGTTACGCTCCTAACCTAAATAAACAATTGATATAATAGCAGTTAATTAAATTAAACCAAAATAGACAAATAAAATGAATGGCTGTAAGACACTTATTTTAAAATATAAATTTCTAAATATTGTCTCATTTTGTGTTATTTCATAGCAATGTATTTTTTGCACTGAGAAACAATCTGAAAAATACCAAGTGGTGTTAAATAAAGACACATTTGCTATGTGTGTGTGTTTTTTTTAAGGATATTCATGGGGAACAAGGAGGAACTGGAACAGCTCACACTGAAGATCATTACAAAAGGTGGCTCAACAGATGATCCATTACAGACTGGGATAGTACTGGAAGGCATACAGGTGATGGCGGGATTGGCAGGTGTTGCTAATTCTTGTGTTTTTCTGCTTGGCCTAATTCATGCAATTAATCTGAGTTACCCCAAAGAGCTCAGGTACTCATTTGAATTTTTTCAGAAGATTCTACTGGAACTAGACAGTGGCAAACTTTTTAACTCAATTTTTCAAGGGTGAAAAATCAAGGAAGTGACATGTTGGAAGTGAACTTCCATTTGTCGATTTGTCACATTTTGGTGTACATTCATGATGTGTGGTTTCAGCCTGTCAAAAAATAAACTGAAATGCTTTATTTTGTGTGATTTGCATGTTTAATTTATTTAAGATATTGACTGTACTGGAGCAGTGCAGTAAGCAGACCAATAGCTGAAGATCTAAAATAAGTTAAAATGTTAAGTTGGTTTAGCTCAATTAAATTTTTTTTATTCAAATGTTAAGTAAACACAACTTGCAATTACTTAGTAGATTCTATGATGTTACATTTTTTTTAAAAGTAAAGAATGTTGGTTTAACTCCAATTATATTTTTTATATAAATGAGCTTAAATGTTAAGTTAACACAACTTAAAATTACTTAGATTATGTTGCATGTTTTAAGTAAAGAATGTTAAGTGAACTCAAATATTTAAGTTCATATAACAAAGATTATCTTGTTTATTTTAAGTAAAATTGTTCCAAGTTGGGTTTACTTAAAAAGTGTGATGCAAAAATGGTGCATACATATTTTAAGTAAATCCAACACATCATTTTTACCAGTGCAATAAGTTTGAAGAGCTCATGACGAACAATATATGTAAATGGACACCAAAAGATACTTATTTAGTAAATCACTCGTTTTCAAAGACTGATTGAAGCTAATAGCGTAGATGTCTTTTTAGAATGTATACGAGAACGTAAAAATGTGCAGAGGATTAATACAAAAAGTCCGGCTCATACGGTGCGATTTTGGCCACGGTTTGGTCGGAGACAAATTTTGAAAATCCTAAAAGATTCCTATAATCGACAGTCAATTATTGACTGTTGCGATCAAACTTGACCTCCGACGAACTTCTGGCAGCGTCAGAAAATTTGGTGCACAGTCAACATCTCCTACGATGAATGTCAAACTGTCTTCGTTTTTCAAGACAAGCCATGATCAGAATTAATGCTAGAGATTTCTTCTAACCACATGAACTCCGGCGCTCTCGTCCTCTGCTCACGGAATTCATATGATCCGTTGCCTTTGCTATGATAAACAATGTGTGTAGTGCTGCTTACACTATTCTGCGCCAATATTGCAGCCATTCATATACTTTTAATGATAGCCAACATTACAGCCCCATGTGCAATGCAGTTAGCAGTCACTGAATGTGTATGGGTTGATAAGGTAAAACTCCGGACAGGTTTTCTTGTGCGCACCCGTTTTTTAACACGTCTTGACTGTCGTACAGTCTGACATTAATGACAACCGAGATCACACAGTGTGACATGATCATCATGTTCGTACAGTCTGACAAGTACAAACCTAAAGGACTTTTTAAAAATTGCACAGTGTGAGCCCGGCTTTAAAGGTTAATAAAGATTCAAGGCTAAAACTGGCCAGCTGAAGATTCTTATGAATAAGTGCTGAATATCTAGGGTATGATATATATAAAATACTAGTGGCCTAAGACTTTTGCACAGTACTGTGTGTGATATATATATACACACACACACACACACACAGTACTGTGCAAAAGTCTTAGGCCACTAGTATTTTCACCAACAAAAAAAAATGGTTAAGCAATTTATTTCTATCTTTTGCTGTAGCGCGTCAGTAGGAAATATCAAGTTACACTTACAATTGTAATAATCCAGTGAGATTTTTGTATGCACAAGGTGTCGGTGCTCCACACAGAGATCTGATCTCACCATCATCGAGTTTGTCTGGAATTACATGAAGAAAAATTAAAAAAAAACTGAGGCAGACTAAATTCAGAGGAACTGTGGCAATGTCTCCAAGATGCTTGAAGAAACCTACCAACAAAGCTACAGTACTGTGAAAAGTTTTAGACACTAAGTTTCATGCTGTAAAGTGAGGACGCTTTCAAATTATTTAATAAATAGATTTTATTCATCAATTAACATTAACTAAATCAAATCAACATTTGTTGCAACCACCCTTTTTGTTTTTTTGTTTTTTAAACAGCTTTTGTCCTAGGTATACTTGCTTGTTTTTCAGGTAGCTTTGCAGGTAGGTTTCTTGAAGTGTCTGTGACATTGCCACAGTTCTTCTGGATTTAGTCTTTGAGTTTCCCTTTCATGGGAACTTCGAACTGCGTCCTCTAGGGG